AGCAATTGACTATCAAATAAAAATGAATACCTACGTTTTATTGCAGTATTTGTTTTATTCTAGAAGTAGTAGTCACTCTGGTAAAACTGAAACTTGGTGAGGATACAGACAGAGCCCAGAGTCAGACTGAGTTTGAATACTAGCCCCACTTTAACTCCTTTCTTAGATTGTGATTTCCTTGTTTGTAAACCAAGGATAATTATAGCACCTATTTCATAGGGTTCCTGGGACAGTTAAGTGAGTTAGTGTGTTTAAAATGCTTACATAATATCTGTGACAATATAAAATTTGTCTGCTTTTATTTTAAAATGGTAGACATTTATTTACTTTTATAGCTTTATTTCATATTTTTTCTATTTAAAAATTTTAGGTATATAAATAGATTTTTTCGAAGTTCTTTGAATATATATATATGTGTGTATATATGTGTGTATATATATATATAATATTCATGCAAAAAGTGTCTTTTATATTGCTGAATCTTCTTTTCTGTGGTATATTTGTGTAGAGAAGCTTGCCCTTAAGTTACCACTGAGCAGCACCATGACACACTGTCCTTCACAAGTGTTTCCAACTTTATTGACTCTGGGTCCAAAAATGATGATTGTTTTAGTTTTTTGTCCACTGGCTATGATAGATTTGCATTGATCTTTCTGTACATTTTGTCCTGGTTCTTTGTGACTGACAGCACGCATTCCTGAGGTAGCAGACTTTGGAAGAGAGGGACTCTAACTGGATGAAAGCTACTATTTGACCTTGTTAATTTCCATTTCTTTTGAGGATTATTATTACTTTAATGTATCTAAGTTTTTAAAAGGTCACCTTTTAATCAATTATGTAGCTTTTCCCGTAAGTAAATTTAGACTTTAACATCTGTACATAAGGTACACATGGAAACACAGACACATACCCACACATACACACACAATTTTTAGGAATTTGACTTTTTTCCAAACCTTCCCCCTCTTTGTTGTAATCTTAATATTGCAAAAGATTGTCCTTGGGATATTCTAAAGGCTTATTTGTAGATACACTTCTACCTCTGGCTACTTTGATCTAGTTTTTGAGATGAGTAAAAATTTGCACCCAAAACGTATGCTCTCTATTCACCTCACTTACTGTTTCTTTTGTTGAGAAGAAGCTTTTTAGTTTGACTCCATCTCATTTATTGATTCTTGGATTTTAATTCTTGCATTATAGGAGTCTTATTAAGGAAGTCAGTGCCTAATCCAACATGATATCGATTTGGGCCTACTTTTTTTTTCTATTAGGCGCAGTGTGTCTGATTTAATTCCTAGGTCCTTGATCCACTTTGAGTTGAGTTTTGTGCATGGTGAGAGATAGGGGCTTAATTTCATTTTGTTGCATATGGGTTTCCAGTTTTCCCAGAACCACTTTTTGAAGAGGCTATCTTTTCTCCAATGTATATTTTTGATGCCTTTGTCATATTAATATAAGTGTAATTATGTGGAATTGTCTCTGTGTCCTCTATTCTGTGCCATTGGTCTACCAGTCTATTTTGGTGCCAATATCATGCTGTTTTTGTTACTATAGCTTTGTAGTATAGTGTAAGGTCTGGTATAGTGATGCCACTTGCTTCCCTCTTCTTGCTAGGAATTGCTTTAGCTATTCTGGGTCTCTTATTTTTCCAGATGAATTTCATGACTGCTTTTTCTACTTTTTGCTTCTTCTTCTTCTTCTTTTTATTTTTTTGGCAATTTTAGGATGCTTTTTCTATTTTTTTTTTTTTGAGGAATGTGATTGGGATTTTGATTGGAATTGCATTAAATCTGTATAGTGCTTTTGTTAGTATGATCATTTTGACAGTATTAATTCTGCCTATCCAAAAAGCAGATTTTTCCATGTTCTAAGATTTTCTTTAATTTCTTTCTTTAGCATTCTTTGCCTGTGATATATTATCTTTAGGATACGTAATTTATAATCATGATCAATTGCAAATAATGGTTTTTAATAGCAATTACTGTTTATTTCATTGCTATTAATATGTCAAGAATGAATGAAGCAACTTTAGAATAACTAACTCTACCCCTGATCCTTACAAATATAATGAAATTTTACTATTTTTAATGCTTTTAATTATGTCCTTCATTTTATTATCTAATTTAAATTTCCTTTAATTTATTGTTATGCCAAGTGTCCTGAGTGTGAATAGAAGTCCATCATGAGAAAATCAGTATGTGTTAACAACGTATGAAAAACAACTGATGAATTTGTTTGTATCCAGAATATGTAAAAAACCTTATAACTCAACAATAAAAAGAAAAGATAGTCCAGCTCAAAAATGTGCCAAGGATTTACATCAGCATTTCTTTAAAAAAGATAGACAAGTGGCTAATAAACACATGAAAAAGGTGTTTAATATGTTTAATTATTAGGGAATTGTAAATCAAACTACATCATACTCATTAGGATGGCTAAAATAAAAGATGGTACTAGTGTTGGCAAAGATGTGAAGAAATTGGAATTGTCATTGGCTGCTGGTGGAAATGTAATGTTGTCTCATGCTTCAGAAAGCACAGTACTGCAGACATTAAACATAGCATTTTTGTATGACTCAAGAGCTTCACCACTAGTTATATGTCCAAGAGAATTGAAAACATTTTCAAACAAAAATTTATACATGAATGTTCATAATAACATTATTCACAATAGTCTAAGTGTCTTGCCAATGAATGAATGGATAAATAAAATGTGGTATATTCATGCAATAAAATTTTCCTCATCCATAAAAAGGAGTAAGTACTGAAACACACAATGATGTGAATGAACCTGGAAAACATTATGCCAAGCAAAAGAATGTTTTAACACAAAAGAACATATTTTATGGTTCCATTTATGTGAAGTGTTCCCAATAGAAAAATCTATAGATAGAGAAATTAGATTAGTAGTTGGGGGACATGAGGGGAAGTAGCAGGAGACTGTTAATGGGCATAAGTTTTCTTTTTTGAAGTAATGAAAATGTTCTAGAATTAGTGGAGATGTTTTAAAAAAAAACTATTCTAAAACCACTGAAATTTTATAGGTGAATTCTAAAATTCATCAGTAAAAGGGTGAATTTTATCTCTATAAAAATGTTACAAGATAAAAGAAACAACTTAGAAAAAAATGATAGCCAGTACTTTATCTAAAGTTCATTAATACATGAATTTTTATGAATTCTATTTCTGTGAACAGCTATGTGTACATATGTGCATGTATGCATCACCCATAACTTGATGCTATATAATATACTGGGATATTATAATATCTCATTATGTGGACAATATAATAAAATGCTACATAATATTTTTGGATCCAGACTCTTCATTTATTAATAAAACTTATCGGAGACTTTAGTGATTTACAGTTATATGTTGTTGAACAATGAGGATGCATTCTGAGAAATGTATACTCAGGCAACTTCATAACTGTGTAAACATAATAATGTACTTACACAAACTAAGACAACTAGGTGATATCAACTTATGAGACTACCATCATATGTGCTTGTTGACTGAAATGGTGTTATGAAATGATCCCTGTATCTTTGTTAAAGGATGAATCCTTTTAGCTCTAGAAATTACTATTACAAATGATCAAATTATGAATTTTTATCTCTCTTTTTTAGGATTTCCTGAGAAGATAACAGTGAAACAGTGTTACCGTCTACTTGGAAATAGTCTCAATGTGCATGTAGTAGCTAAGCTGATCAAAATCCTTTGTAAATAATTTTGAAATAGGACTGGGGATATGGCTCAAGCAGTAGCGCACTTGCCTGGCATGCGTGCGGCCTGGGTTCGATCCTCAGCACCACATACAAAGATGTTGTGTCTGCCGAAAACTAAAAAATAAAAATACTAAAAAATAAATATTAAAAAAAATTCTCTAAAAAAAAAAATTTTTGAAATAACTCTGGAAAAGGATCATGATATTCTTTCATGCCCAGATTATAATTCTTAAATTCTATTTTGATGTAATTTTGATTAAATTTAACTAAATTATTTTAATCTTTCTTTAAAAATTTTAGAATTCATCTCAAAATTTAGAATTTATCACAAAAATAAATTTGTTTTCTCAAATTTATATTACTGTATTTTATAAAGTAAAAATTATTTTGCTTTATAGAGAATATATTTTCATATGAAAGTAATAGATATATATGTCTTTACAATATGTATATTATGTGTTATATATAATATGTTGTTATTATCTTTACAATATTATTACTCCTAAACTTAGAATGGTGATTCTAATGCTAGCCTGTTTGAAATATTGGATGTTTACTTAATTCCCATCTTTTGGATATTTTTACTTAAATCCTATCCTTTAAATGTTTCTTAATTTAATGTAAACAGATAATTATGATATTTGAAACCAAATTGTCATTATTCAACTTATCAACTTATACAGCAGTCTGAAGAATATAATAGAAAAATTAAATTCATGATTACCTCTCCATCAGGAGGCCTTAGCAAATCTAGGTGTTTATTATCTAATTATCTTTTTTTTTCCATCTCTCTCCGAAGGGTCAAACTCAGTATGGACTTTGCTTTAGTTTGCTATTATTAGAGTTTGTTTTTGCCTCCCTTCTCAGCTTGTGAGTTAAATTTGCCTGCAGTCTAAGGAATGTACTGTAGCATTAGGAATTTAGGGAGGAAATTCTACTCTGACCCCATTATATTTGGTGCTAGTTCCCCCTCCCCCCACCTCATTTTTTAAAATTGTTGTGACATGCCTCTGATTTAACTTTTATAACTTTTAACTTTCTTGTCTCTCCTTGCCAGAGACTTTTTGGAATTCAGGTTTCTCATCAGCCTGAATTTTGCATCATAAATCCTGCAGTTTTGATTTAAGTAATAAAAGCAAGTGATACAGAGAAATGAAAAGAAACAAGACCAGAAATTATATCACAAAATATTAATTCATATTTTTTATTTTTTAAGCATAAACTAAGCCAGGTATGGTGACACACACCTGTGCTACTTGGAAGGCTGACACAGGGGGATTACAAGTTTGAGGCCAGCCTCCACAATTTAGCAAGAACTTTTCTCAAATTAAAAAGGCCAACGGGGGTTGAGGTGCGGATATAGCTTAGTTGTAGAGTGCCTCTGGGTTAATCCTCAGTACAAAAACAAAAACAAAAGTTCATTCCTATATAGAGAAATTTTAACCCTTGTTAATTGCAAGTGAAAGCATAAAATTACAGTAGAGCTGCTATGGAAAACTGTGTGGAGGTTCCTCAAAAAGTTAAAGATAGAATTACCATAAGATCTACAAATTCCATTTCTGGGTATATACCCAGAAGAAGTGAAAGCAAGAACTTGAACAAATGCTGTGATTGTAATAGCATTATTCATAGCATCTAAAAGGTGGAAGCCACCCAGGTGTCCATCCATCAATAGACAGATGGATAAATAAAATGAATATACATATAAATGCATATAATGGACTAGTATTCATCCTTAAAAAAGAATGAGATTATGATACATGCTGTGAACAGGATAAGCCTTAAGACATTCTAATAAGTGAAACAAACCAGTCACAAAAGGACAAATATTATTATAATTCCACTTATATTAGGTACCTAAAACAGTCAGATTCCCAGAGACTATAAGTAGAATGGTGGTTGTCAGGGATTATGGAAGGGAAAATGAGGGATTAGTGTTTAATGGATACAGTTTCTGTGTGAGGGCTAATATAGTTCTGGGAAATGGTTGGTGGTGATTGTTTCATAATAGTGCAAAGGTACTTAATACCACTGAACTGTACACTTAAAAATAGTTGCAATGGTGAAATTTTAAATTATATGTATTTTGCTGCAATTTAAGAAAATTATATTTTATTACCATTTTTTCAGAACACATAAATAGATATATTTAGGGAGGCTATAAGCCAACACATGTATCAACAATCACTATCGACTTTTTATATTTGTGTTTAAAGATAAACTTTATTGCAAGTCTCATAAATTTTATTATATAATCTAAAACCATTTTGGCACACTTTCGTGTAGTTTTCTTCGATGAAAAATTCTTTATCAATAAAATGGTTTATAGTTTAACCATAATTATACTGTGATTATAATTATGTAATTACAGTATCTGACATCCCATTGAGCAATATTATTTAAAATACATATTAAGTTACAGTGTGCTAACTATAAACACATGAAAGGTCTGTGGAGACATTTGCTTATAAACTAGAACACAGAATAGCTTTATGAAATTTTTAAGTATGTATTGAAGTATGTATTCAAAGGCAGATGGTAATTTTGCCCTTAACTCATAATTGAAAATATACACTAGCAAGCATAAAATTTACACCTTAATGAAGATATATTTACCAGTGTCATTTAATCATATATATATATATATTCACACACATATATATGTACGCAAACATGTATGTATGTGTGTGTGTGTGTGTGTGTGTGTGTGTGTGTATATAAACACACCACACACAACTAATTTAGAGAAGTCACTTTATTGAATGCTACATATTGGTAATAAATATGCATAAAATTTGCACTGGAAATTTTGTTTTCTGATATTTCTTAGAATTTGGTATAATAGCCTCTACTTTTCAAGAGAACTATATGTAATTAAACCTTTGCTGTTCTTCACAATAAACTGTTTCTTCATTCTTCTTTTTGCATCACTCTGTTCTTTATAAAAGCTTGTTAGGTAATTCTAAGGTATTTATTATCTTGCCTCATGATTTTAGTATATTTTAAGGACCCAAAACCAATGACAAAAGATGGTTAAATGAATCAATACAAAAAATTATTTATAGATGGTTACACAAATTAATTCAAGCAAAATGATTTATATTGGAAATTGATTGTGAGGAGGA